GTATAAAGCTCACTTTAGGGGGGCATTCTTATTTTTGGACTTTGAGAGGGGGAAAGTTGGTCAATGGGATTTTGATTCTCATTGACCAAAAAACTCATGTTCTTTTTTCATATTTATTATGTGAGCACTAGGGAAAATTTATTTTCTTGGGTGTTACTTATCGTAGATACATAAATAACTTTTCCATCAAGGGAAAATTGTCAACACTTAAATGAGACAAGATGCACTTACCCAGATAAGTCTTTCCTATGAAACATTTACCCGAATAAATAATTTACCAAACAACAAATAGTGCTTAAGACTCTATTTGAAAAGAATGCAAAATCTTGTATCTTGTATTATTTCGTATGTATTTACACTATACATATTTATATTTGTACTCCTTCCAAATTAAGCCTAAATGCTCAATTTGAAAGGAGAACTAATAGATATATATAAAGTACAAGGTTCTATACTCTACAAATTTGTTTTTGAACTCCTTCCAAACTGAGCCCATGTAATAAACAAATGTGTAGGTGTATCTGCCCGGGTGTTTTATGGATGCTTTCTCCTACTCGATGCTTAATGGCATCCAATGACACTCATGCATAATAAAATATAATTAACAAATGTTTCATGGCATTTTGTGCCCAGCTCTGATTTCAAATGCATAAAACAAAAACAAATACAACAACACCGCACCAAACACCTTCTTGGCTTATTAACTTGAATAAGCATTGCACCCAAACGCCCGATACAAGTCACTTGTCTTTCACCGTACAAAATAATGTTAAAAGCATCGTTTTCTTTCACCGGTACAAAATAATGTTAAAAGCATCGTTTTCAGTTGAAGCATTAAATAAGAGCAGAACCAAATACCCTCCCCACGACAGAAGGATCTTACATGTGGTTTGCTAGAATTGTAGGTGTTGGGAGCCCCCACATATTGATCGCAACACCCCCCCTGCTCATGGGCCAAGCTTCTTCGCGACAACAATCCGTCGACACTTGGCAAAGATGACATTATTTTCTAATTTAAGACTCGACTTAAACCGGCCCGCATTACTTGAGAAAGTCCAACACATTGTGAAGATGGAGATGGCGTTGATTGGTGCAACAATTACATCGCCTGATAAAAGGGATTCCTGCCCATGCACACTCCTCCATTTTATTGGGCGCATGAGCATCATCTTTGGACTTTAGACAACTCCCATTTTTCAACTTTAAGTTTTTCATTCCATGTAAATCTTTTACAAGACTCTTGTAATGGTCGAATACCTACCTAAAGTCATATCTAGAGTTAAGGAGGTGTTTGGTAAGTTTTTTTTTATTGTTTTTGGACTTTTAAAAAATTAGTGTTTTTTTTTTCTATTTAGTAATGAAAGATAGGAAGTCACAAAAAGTCTATTCCTAAAAAGTTTAAAAAGCTCATGGAAGCCTAAAATGGCAAAAACTCCCATGCCACTTTGTAAGTAAAATCTTTCATTTAATATCTCTATAGATCATGATAGATTAAGGTATTTATTAAACAGTTTAGGTCTTTAAAGACGATATCACAAGAGCTCATTACATCTTTTGGTCATACCTAGGCAGTCAGAAGATCTTCCTAAAAAGACTTACTAAATGATATTTAAAACAAAACTAAGAGTTATTAGGGGGTAAGGGATTAACTTAATTTGATTCAATTGTTTTTAATAAACCTATTAAAGAAGGTCTATGTGGAGAGTTGTGTAGATGGATGTATGATGATCATAACTCAAGTTACACAATGGGTCAAATTTTGATTTTATGGAGACGTTTGTAAAATCTTTCATGTATGATCTTTTGGGTTTCGACAAGCTTGAAAGACCGAAAATTGGTATTTTCCGTTTGGTAACCAAAAACTAAAAAGATTAATATACATGTGCACGAAAAGACCCAAAAAAGATCGAAAACGCCGAATTTTGAGAAGTTTCAAATGAAGCTTTTTGGCCTTTATGTGTGATAGATAGCCTCTAAAAACAAGACCCCAAAAGCTTAATATGTCTTTTGACCATCTAAAAAATCTTTCTAAAAAACCTACCAAAATGACACCTTTGTCAATTAAATGTTTGTTTTTATCTAAAGTGTTTCAAAATAGCTAAACTAGCTTGACGGACTTTTCAACTCAACTCTCTCAAACAGGCCTTACAAAACCCCACAAATCAAAACGAAGCCTTGGGCAGCTTCATTCTTCTCTTACATGCAAGTCCAGGTTTTCTTGTTGTTGGCACAGTGTTCACCAAGACAAAACTAGTTAGGTATTCTGTTCATACTTATTTTGGGCTGTTTGGGAATTACTCTCTCTACACAACCCAACCCTGCTACAACCTCATATTTTTGCCATGCGGAAGCATGATTTGGGCCAATCTGAATCGTCCGCCAGGTAGGGATGTTATAGATGAGTTAGTCACGTATTCAATCTTATGATCCACACTTCCACATCACCTTTCAATATTAGTGGTTTCCAAAAAAGATTTATTTGTCACTAATGAAAAGTAATTTCAATATTTATTCAACATTAAAACTGTCTTAAAAAAAACCCTATTCTGTCCACGTGGCAAGTATTTTTGGAACCCAAGTAATTTGACCCATCAATAAAGGGTAACAAGAGGAATATCGTCGGGGCTGAGCTAAAATTTATACGTAGAAAATTCTCTGGATATTTAACTTTATACGAATTTCACAGTAGCATCAGCATGGGGCTGGCGAATCCAAAGAGGACAATTTGGAATTTTGGTTATTATCTTCCAAGTTCCAACTCAGCCTTCTACGCCTCAGAGCCCCCACGTATTGAATAGAATATTTCTTTTCAGACCTGTGTACATGTTTGGTTGTATTTGTATTACTTGCAATCATGCAGTCAATCAATCTGGTAGATTTAAGCAAGGTTTGGATCCGGGTCGAAATCCGGCACTGATGATTGGCAGTGCCCAACGCAATGCTCCAACAGGTTGTAGAAGAGCTGAAGCAAAAGCGGGTTTTGTTCACCAAATGCGGGGACATCGGGTCGGGTTGGAGGTCATGACCGGACTATACGGGGCAGTGTACTGGAACTGGAGTGGACCCTGGGGAGGTCCTTAACCACGAACAAAAAATTCAGAACTTACTGTCGATGGTACACACCACGAGCGAGCAACAATAAATGTGTTTCTCCAAACAAACCTGGTCTACTTTTCCTTCCAGCTTTCCCTCCTCTACCCCACCCGACCCGATAAATATCAGGATGGCAGAGACAGATCATTCATTACCTCTCACGAACAAAGCACGTAGTCACGTACGTACCATCTCTCCACCGTTCGATTTAAATACATTTCATAGAATTCCGTTTTTTATATATGCCAAAATTGTAGTTCCTAAGTTATCCTTTAACGCTTTGGAAAGCGGAGAAATTACTGGGTGTAGGGTTTTCCTTCTATGCACCACTCGTTCAAACCATCATTTTAAAGATTACACTTTGACGGTTGAGATTGAGTTACTGAAAATCTTTTAATTTTAATTTCTGAAGATAAAAAAGAAAGTGAAATTGTATAAAACTCACATCAGCATTTCTCTTAAATTCATCATAATTTTCAAAACATCCAATGAACCCCATGCCAATGAGTTTTATTTTTCAAAACTCCCATTCTATTCATACACGTAAATGTATGTATACGAAACCAAACACTTTGAATGTTTCTTGATAGAAATGGCCATATCAGCATAAATAACAATTTTCATGACTAAATTACCCTTGAATAGCAAATTAGGGGAAAATGGTCATTTAGGTTAGGGTTAGACAGAAACTCTCTCTCTTTCTCTCTCAAACTCTCCTACTTTGCTTTGCGTCTCGCACTTAGATTTGGCTGCCACACCACCTTCTTTCTTGCTCAAATATTGCTGCCACACCACTCTCTTCAAATTTTATGTTTTGAAGCATTTGCAATGTATTCTTTTGAATATTGAATGTAAATCCCCATCAAGGGTTCTACAAATCTGTGACAAAAAAATATTTTTGTAAACTTTTATCTTATTGTCTGAAATATTTTTTGAAATTTTGTTGCAATAATCTTTGGATTCAATGTCTAATTTTTGTTTATTTTTTGAAAAATTTTATAATTTTATTAGTTTGTTTGTAATTTTTTCTATTTTTGCTTTTTTAGTTGATATTTTTAATTTTTTATCATTTTATGTATTTATGTGTAGGGTTTTTATTATCTTTTTGAAAATTTTGTCACTTTCTTGTGTTTTTACAATTTTTTACTTTTTTATATAATATATAATTTTTTTATTTTTTATCATTTTATGTATATTTGCGATTTATGTTTTTATCCAATCTTTATATTTTTTGAGTTTTTTTGTCTTTTTTAGTTTTCAATTTTCTTATTTTTTTTTCACATTTTTAGTGTTTTTTTACATTATTCTATTTTCTATAATCTATAATCTATAAATTTTTAGTGTTTTGCAATTTTTGTGTTTTTCTATAATTTTAGGTGTTTTACTACGTTTTTATTTTCTGATTTTATTTTTTAATTTCTATAGTTTTTTATATTTTTATATATTTTATATTTGAAAATATTTTTTGAATATTTTATTTTTTTTATGTTTTTATATATTTTATATTTTTCTATTAATGGTAAAATGGTAATTGTAATATATTGACTCCCGATATTTACTTGTTATGTTTTAGAAAGAGATATAGGGTGAGAGTTATCGTGAAAGGTGAAAGGAGCAGGGCAGGTTTCGTCGTACAGGAGGGTGAGAGACTGTATCTCTCTCGCTCTCTCTCTATCTCTTCATCTCTTTAGAGTGAGAGTGAGAGAGACACAGTATCACTGTATCAGGTCACTCGACTCACTCCACAACGAGTCCACACTCTCGTCGTCAATCTTGCTTTGGGACCCGCAACTACAGTTTGAAAATCAATAATATTTAGACACGTGGTGGAATGTCATGTCAACCGTAGAGATAGCGGTGTTTTTGTGAAAAGCTATAAATACGGGCGTCGTTAGATATTATAAGACCTCTACTGTTTTCAGAGCGTGTGAGAACGTGCGGCCCTGAAAAGCTTCTTCTTCTGACTCTCTCTTTCCATCACTGTTCCCTAAAGTGAACATTCTCTCTCCTCTCCTCTCTCCTCTCTCCTCTCTTTCTCGTCTCTAGTCTTTCAGTCCTGGGAAAAGAAAGAAAGAGGTCTAGTCTCTTTCAGCTTAAACCAAACGGACACCGCCGGGAGGTCAAGCTAGGTTTTCTTTCTCTCTCCCAAGCTGCTGCAGTTACAGTAAAGGAAGTTTTTCATCAGTGAAGCTTGAAGTGATCCTGGATAATTTAGTTTCGTTGGCCCTGGGAAGCTCGATTTGCACAGGAATCTCCAAAATCCTCTTACGTTGCACAAGAAGGTCGCTGGTTTGGATTACTCGACCTCGTTTCAATTCTTTGGAGTTCATTGGAAGTGTTTTTACTTGGACGAAATTTGAGTCTTCATCCCCTGAATTTCAGTGGAACTGGTGGATTTTCCTTGTAATTGGTTCCTTCCGGTGTTCGAAAGTGGTTCGGTTACTTGATCGTATAGGAGTTTCTGATCTGGTTGGGACAACGAAAAGTTATCAGATCCTTAGAGGAGGATCAGTTGGAAGTGGCGTGATGGTTTGAAGCTCTTGAAGTCTCTTCCGTTAGTTTTTTTTTTTTTTTCAACTTTGAGCTCCGGACCTTTCGCTTTTTTAAGTTCGCAGAAATGGCGAACTAATTTATACACTGTTCTCTATCTTGCTCTATGGTTTCATGGAAAATTTGTACAGACTTGATCCCGCAATTTCGTGCTCAGAAGAGATCGCCGTAGTCGGAAATGCCACTCCGGCTACGAGGTTCCACCGTCAAGTCGACAACCTACTTCAATTTGAAGCGAGCGAGAACGAGATTTGTGGATCGGAGATGTCCGATCTGATCAAAGCTCAGATAGCCAATCATCCTCGTTATCCTAACCTAGTGTCTGCTTACATAGAATGTCGAAAGGTGATTGAAATACTCATCAGCTCAGCCTGTTTTCCGTTTGAATTCTCCGAAGACATTTTCTGTAATAGTCCTCTTTTTACAGGTCGGAGCACCACCAAAGTTGGCTTCGCTTCTTGAAGAAATAGGTCGAGAAAATCATTCGAGTGGTGGCTGTAGTGAGATCGGAGCGGATCCAGAACTCGACGAGTTCATGGTAACAGCGACCGGAAAGAGAAGCTCTCTTACAATCCTCAACGTTTTCTTAATCATATAATTGACTCAGCAGGTTGGGCTTGGCCGTAATAGTATTGAGTTCTGAGGGATGCTTTACTGATGCTGCAGGAATCGTATTGCGAGGTTCTTCGTAGATACAAACAAGAGCTGTCCAAACCTTTCGATGAAGCGACGTCGTTCCTGAGCAATATCGAGACGCAGCTCAGTAATCTCTGTAACGTAACGTCGACGGCTACGACGACGACCTCCGGGAATTGTCACTCAGGTAACATTTCACAGCGCGTATGCAATTTGTATTCTTGTTTATGTATAATTTGCGCCGGTTGCGTGCACTGCTTAGCCGGATCACAAGCCTAGATCTCTTCTCTCGATATCTACGTGGACGAATATCAATGGTGCAGCATAATAGGAGCAAGCATACGATCCCGGTCTGTGCAGCTGTTCGCATGTTATAAATCTCACAGGATAAAAATGGTTTTTCTCGTCATTTGCGTAGAAACAGTGGTATCCCTTTAAAAGACGCACTGCGTGATGTACGCTAACCCATCTACGCTGTGGAATGGTAAGCCACACGGGATGCTACTTTATTGCCTGGTGTCTGATTATGTTTCTCTAGTTCTTTGCTTCTGGAGGCCTGTAGAGACTGAGTGCGGCATGCAAGCATCGCATATTTTTCTCTTCCTTTTAAAATTTAGCTTGAAATTTGGGATTTTTTTTTTTAAGTTTTCACGTTTTCTCCTATTTTCATGCCACAACTGTTTACTAATCAAGGTTTAGCAGTCACCAAAAATAGGAGTGATAAGCTCTGCTCCCCACTCACCCCTTCCCTCCTCTCAATCAGAAAGGCAATATTTTCGTTTCCAATGCCAGCCTTTCTTTTCTTGTTACCTATGTGTCAAAAAGGTGGCATCATGCGTAAATGGTTTAATTATCAAAAAAATTTCTCCATGGCAGATGCCTATAGTTTGCAACCAACGTTGTTGCAGTTCCCAATTTCCCATTACTTCAACTTGTAGTGGCAATCCCCAGTTTCTTTAAAATAGCTTCTCGGACCGTAACCCTACTTACTATGTATTTATTTTAGTTTTTTACGTGTAAAATAAAGGTATCTGAAACAGCAGTTCAGCTTCTAGCATCATACAACCACAAAACAATTATGGTTCTGCTGGTCATATTCTAGTCAAGGCTTCGTATGTTTCAATCTCAAATGGATGAAAATTTTTTCAAATTTGTTTTCACCGCCTCTACATGACTACATCAAATCAAATTAAAAGGGGGTGGAAGGCAAAGTAAAAACTGAAACATTTTATTCTGAGTTAGTTTTTGGTTCTTTTATGGGAGAAAGAAAGAAAAACATCCTATTTGCGGCATTTAATAACTGACTTTGTGGTCAGAATCACGAGCTTCAGTCTTTTTACTGGGCTAACATAACTGCATACATCAATTGAGTATTCATGATGAAATTGATTTTGGGGAAATGCATATGTAGATGCTACAGTGAATTGATTGAACCCATTTTGTTCACGCTGAGTTAAAATTTTGGATTTAGGTGGTTCCATTGGGCAATCTNCATATGTAGATGCTACAGTGAATTGATTGAACCCATTTTGTTCACGCTGAGTTAAAATTTTGGATTTAGGTGGTTCCATTGGGCAATCTTTTATTGTTAAAAAAGATGTGTGCTTGTGTTGCTCCATAAAATAATATGTTGATATCTGGATGTTATCATCGTCCCCAAAAATGTTTTATGATCTTTCTTTTTCTTTAAGTAGTTCTGGCCTCTTCATCTTATACATATCGCAATCAAAAGCTTCTTGTGCCACAGTTTCAAGGTCAAAATTTGCGATTGCTTCCTTGATTGATTCAATTGCTCTACAGCTTACAAGTTTTTTTGTAGTGGATATTGTATTATTCATATGTTTGCATCTCTTTTCATTGTGTTTAACGCAGAAGTTGACAGCTTCTTAAATTTGAGAATGGCTCCATCCTGGGGCTTTCGGGAAATACCATGTTCAAGGCAGAAACTTTTTAATATTCTGAGGCCCTTTGTGCTAATTCTCATATTGGAATTCATAACCTGGAAGTTTACTGGTCTAGTGAATTAAATGTTTCATAGTTGATTTTCCCTTTTTTATTTTGTTGGTATCCAATTGAATGGAATCTACATTTGGATTTGCTGAAAATGGTTATAAATTTCTTTTATTTTAATGTAAAATGATGTGCTGTCACTAAATTCAAAGTTCCATTGTGTTTTTTTATTTTTTTTGTGGTGGAATACTTTATTATCAGTTGTCTCTTATAGTTTATTAGAGTGTAGGCATTTCTATCTGGAACATGCACTTAGATAATTAAAATCTAGTAAGGAGGGAGGGAGGGAAGGGGGAGACAAGGAGAAAGGGTTGCAATCATGGAATGTAGCGAAAGAAATATACTGAATCTTTGATAACAAGTTGAAGAAATTGAGTTGATATGTTTAGGCAAATTTTGGGCATTCAGGGAGTCTTGACTTGATGATAAAAGAGACTTTTCATATGGAGCTCCTTAATTGTTTGTCAGTATATGTAATGCGACTTCCATAGGGCAATATAGGAAGCAACCATGCTGTAAGCAGTGGCTACAGAATTTTTTTGTAATGATCAATAAATGAAATATATATGGGAATCTTATTGCTGATATCCATGTCTGTGGTACTCTGCATGTCTTGTCCCTATCTTTATTTCCTGTTTTTCCTCTTATCATTTATACTCTTCAATAAGACTTTAGCACTTGGTGTGAGGAATTTTTCTTGATCCACATTTTCTTTAAATAGAATTTGAGTCATTTATTTGAATATTTTAAGGTCAATTGCCCTATTTTTCTATTGTAGGATCTCTTACTTTGATACCAATCTGTTATGGGTCTGATTGTCACCAATGGGTGATCCAAGGAAGGTATTAATTATCTAGAATAGGGTTTAGTCGTTTACTCGTTTAGGTATGTTCAAGTGCAAAAATTGTAGTTTTGTTTCACTGTGAAAGCTTTGAATTGAAAAAATTAGTCTAGGGTTGGAATTTCAAATAAAACTTTGTATGTAGGTTTAGAATTGATAGTTCTAGAAGATAACCAAGTTTGTTAGTGCTTAGAGAACTTCTTTCGCAAAGAGGCAAACACTCTACTTTTGTTAAGAAAACTTGAAAACTTTGGCATTTAGGATCTAGGTGGAATTTTGGGATGTATAGAAAAATGTAACAAGGTCAATGTTAATTCTTTAGGGAGGTAGAATTACTTTGATGAAAACTTTGTAAGCTATCAACGACTGTAATGTCTACTTGTAGAATTAAAAGACTAGTAGATAAAGAAGAGAGAGCACGTGATTAATAGTACAGTGACTTGAGTCACTCTAGAGTGTGGATTCAGTAACCACTCTTAGCAATTAGCACGAGCTATAAAAACTCAAATAATCTTAAATCATTCGTTCCTTAACATTTTTTCTCTATTGGCATATGTATAGACATTTGGGGTGGGTAATCCCAGTAGAATTATGAGAAATTGAAATTACAGAATTTCTAATATCATAAGAAAACTCATCACTTGCAAGCTGTTTAACCAATGGCTGTGAAACTTTTGAACACAAATGAACTCTGAGTTAACAAGTAAAATTTCCAGGCTGCACTGGACCAACATGTTAAACGAACAAAGTAGCCCTAATATATAAAATATGAAAATACATAAAAATTTGAGAAAACTTTATATCTGATTGATTGGCTCATGCGTTATTTTCCCGTTTCTAGCAGTTCTTGTTGTATTTTGACTTGTAATTGTTAATTGGGTGTGTGTTCAAGGTTTGTAGTGTTTTCTTTGGTGGAATTCCAGTGTAGATTTAGTGAGAAGTTTTATAACATCTTTTTTTTTTTTTAAGTTTTTATCTATGAAAATATATGTTTGTTTCTTTTTAATTATAAAAGGACTTGTTCCTTTAAATTATTATATGGTTATAGCACGTTTGAAGTGGTATTTTTAAAGTGATGACACCATTTCAAGATAGCCTGTTCCTCTGGTTAGAGCAAGTTTAAGGTTTTTAGAAATCTCTTATATAACTCCCTCTGTTGATAGTTTAGTTATAGATATGATTTAGTATATCTATTCAGTATTATAGTTATGATTTACATTGAATGTACTTATGCTACTCTTTAATAAGAATTATTAAACCATTGACTATATATTTTTAAATTATGTGTAAGTTAATAAAGTAAAATACAAAATAAAGAGTTATTTATAACGGTTAGCTTGAAAGAATAGTACATGTAAAGAGAAGGGTTCAAATTACAGTAAAGCAAATTATTGGGGTGATCTCTATGCACATGTAGATTGAAAACCTTATATTGATATAATTAACAAACTAAAATCTGTTGAAAAAATTATGAAAGATATTAAAAGCATTTGGCAATATGTTTTGCTATATTCTTGTATTGGTACCCATGGATATGCAAATATGTCATGAAAATATCAGGAGGTATGTTGACATTTTAAACCATGTACCATCATGATCGTGTTAAATTTTAAACCATGTATGCATGAATTATTTGCTCCTATATTGCTTTGTAAAATAATTCATCAAATGTAATTATGCCCATTTAATTCAACATGATCTCTTCCTATTCAATTGCTATTACAGTTTCATCACATTGAGCATTGTCATAAGGATTCTGGGTGAATGCACTTTAAGCCATGTTTTTGGGTGGTTAAATCTGCTCGTTAGATTTTTGGGTTGAACAAGTTTAGTTCTGATGGCTAAGTTCATATATATGATTGATTGCTTTTCAAATTTTAAAAGTTAAGGTATCTTGTAAGGCTGATGCTGCCAAACCGACCCAGCACCTTGATATCTTGTTTGTAAATTGTAGTATATTGACCATGAATTTGGACAATTAGTCATTTTTATTTCAAATATTGCAATGCATTCCATTCAAAAAGGTGAAATGGATATTAAGTGGATGTAGTTTAAACAAATTATTTAGGATAATTGTATGGGTGCAAGCCACTGAACGGTTTTGTGGGTTGCAAACTTATTTGCCAAGGTTGGTATGTTTCGTCCTCATTTCTTTTGGATTTCAATTGAACGATATCTGTTGGATCCCTTCTTATTTACCCTTCCCTAGTAAACACAAAAAAGGTGTAAATGAGAAAATATAAAAAAGCGGACCAATAAAAGGTATTTGACAGGCTTTTCTACATTTGGCTGTGGCTGTGGTTCTGATATGAACTATGAAAACAATTCACTCCAAT